GACAAGTGCAAGGTGCTGCACCTGGGGAGGAAGAGCCAGCACCATACCTACAGGCTGGGGAACTCCCTTCTCGTCAGTGCAGAGGCAGAAAAGGATCTTGGAGTCGTCATTGACTCCAAGATGAACATGGGTCAGCAGTGTGGGGATGCAGTCAGGAAGCCCAACTGCACCTTGTCCTGCATCCACAGATGCATCTCAAGCAGGTTCAAGGAGGTGATCCTCCCCCTCTATGCGGGACTGGTCAGGCTGCAGTTGGACTACTGCGTCCAGTTCTGGGTGCTGCACTTCAGGAGGGGTGTGAACAACATGGAGAGGGTCCAGAGGAGGCCACTCGCATGATCAGGGGCAGCAGGGCAGGCCCTATGAGGAGAGGCTACAGGACCTGAACCTGTTCAGCCTCCACAAGAGAAGGCTGAGGGGGGATCTAGTGGCCTGTTATAAACTAGTCAGGGGGGACCAGCAGGCACTGGGGGAGTCCCTGTTCCCCCGAGCACTGCCAGGAGTGACCAGGAATAATGGTCACAAGCTGGTAGAGGGGAGATTCAGACTAGACATCAGGAGGCGCGACTTCACGGTCAGGGCGGCTAGGGTCTGGAACCAACTTCCAAGTGAAGTGGTGCTGGCTCCTACCCTGGGGGTCTTTAAGAGGAGACTAGACGAATACCTTGCTGGCGTCGTTTGACCCCAGTACTCTTTCCTGCCATGGCAGGGGGGCAGACTAGATGATCTGCTCAGGTCCCGTCTGACCCTACAAACTATGAAACTATGAATAGCACACTTTAGGATAGGCAGTTGAGAGGATTAATATCCAGTTCAAACCATGAGGGGAGGCAAGGCAATGAATAAAAAGTAAACCTGAAATCTAATCTCTTCTTAGAAAGAAGAGAACTTATAGTTGTTTCAGGCTTGGCATCTGCCTTGGACCCCTCCCTGCCAAATTTCTATTTTTATTTTCTGTATATTAAGCATTTTTCTTTCTTTTACTGCTGCAGGAAGGACTTGCACAGGAGAAATGATTAAACTAATTATGTGTAAAAAACCAAAACCCTAAAAATTAAAAAGCTAGAGAATTATTTTCTTTAATCTTTCTCACTTACGGCACTTGTAGGTGTTTGCCACTGATAAGTACACTAAAAAACTCAGAGAAAACTATAGTGAAGTTTTAAGTAGCTATCATGTAATTATCCAGAATGACAAATTGTAAGGGAGGTTAGGTTCTCATAAAGTGATGGAATTTCAATTTTAGCGTTTTGGCAGTATTTTCCAGCAGCAATGCATTTTCCTAAATTATTCTAGGTCATTGCTTCAGTTCATTCAACATTTCCAATATCGTACATACATTCTCTAAGGCTTTCACTTATGCAAGTACTACTGTGATCAAACCAGAGAACAGATGAAACGGGTCACAGCAGAGAAGAGCGAAGTAATCAGCACTCCTTTCCCCCAGTTAAATCTAGCAGAGTGAGGGAATTTACAGTCCTCTGAAGGAAATGGAAGTGAAATACAGTACGTGTCAGTAGTCTGTGTCACTTAGGAGAATGCTGTAAGTAAAAATAATTTGCTTGAACACTTCCATAAGCCATGTCAGTATCTTGGATAACATGGTGAATAAACTGGAAAAGTATGCCAATCACTTGGAGGAAGTCGTGGAAGAAAGGACAAACCAGTTGACGGCAGAGAAGAGAAAGACAGACAAACTATTGTCATCACTGTTACCTAGGTAATTAAACTTCTTCAGTGTATTCCTAAATTGTCAACAATAGAATTTGGTGAGAGATCGAACCATGCCCATAGAGGCAACCTCAAAGTGCTCATGTAACATATGCTGACTATACACTGTTTTATATAGCTGAAAGTGGCAATCATTATATGCTTAACTGTGGTTCACACTCACAGCAAAGGTCTTATACTGTTGAGTGGCTTAGGCTCTGGTACAAATGAAACTAGAATTGTAGGATAAGAAAAGGTTGGGAAGGGACCTCCTGGATCATTGAGTCCAATCCTTTGCTATTATGGACACCATGCCATATGAGCCCTTTAATACCTTTATTGGAATTCATATTTGAAGTATTTTTTTGATGTCCCCAGTGCCCCTTTTGGAAGGCTGTTCCACAACCTCACTATTCTCATGGTTGATAACCTCCAGCCTAAATTTATCACTGTCAATTCTTACCCAGTTTTCTTGAGCCAACATTGCCCTTTATCTTAAATAACTTTTCACCCTGCACTCTTCAACTGCTTTTAATTTGTTAATTATTAACCACTATATGTGATAGTGCCTTGTAGCCCCAGTTATAGACTGGGACTCTATTGGGCAAGGAGAAGTAGAACCATATATACACAAAAAAAAGGTGGTGCTCGCCCCAAAGAACATGTGGTCAGAAACCAGAAATAATGGGTAGGTAGAAGAGAAAGGCAGGAGGAACAGGGAGAATTAATGAGGCTGTATTGTTCAGCCAATGGCCTCAGTAAACTGGCTCTCTTTACTCCTCAACAAGTTTTTGTTACTTTGCTTTGAGAACGCTCTTCTGGAGCGTGGAAGCTGGAGTAAAATCCCAGCTGCATGTGTTTTAAGGAAACCTTGGAAATGCTTTAAACAGTCTCTTCAGCATACTTCCAAATATTTTTATGGTGAGGTAGTAAGAGAGAAAAGACACGAAGGAAACGATAATTTGTCTTTCTTTTTCTAGTTTCATTGGAGAGCAGCTCATTGCTGGGAAATCAGTGGAGCCGGAGAGTTTTGATTCTGTGACCATCTGCTTCTCAGACATTGTTGGGTTCACGAACTTGTGCTCTCTTAGCTCCCCCCTGCAAGTGGTCAGTCTTCTGAATGACCTGTACAGCATGTTTGATAACATTACTAAGACATACGACGTATACAAGGTGAGGCACCTCGCTTCCTGTTTGTTAGACAGAGAAAGGGCTGGGCCAGATCCAGCAGCACTGGGTTTGCTGAGCCTCCATTTAAGTCAGTGGAAGCTTATGAAGGTAGACTCAGGCCTCCTGTTTGTAATTACTTGGGAGAAACTGCTCTTTAGTCAAAGTCCATTAAAATGAGTGGAAGTATGCCAATGACTGGATCATTGCAGGACACCATGAATAGAAGTGCACACGCTCAGGCTAGGTGCGGACATTGAGGGAGGTTAGATCATGTTAAAAATGGCCAGCTGATCTAACTTAGTTTGCCCAGGTGTGGACCATACACTTAGATCCCTAATAAGGTCAATCTAAGTGCGAACTGTATAGAAGTTCAGGAAAGTTAGATCAGTCTTAAAATGGCTGACCTGATCTAATTTAACCTGACCTCAGAGGTAGTCTAATTAGATCGGGTCCACTGAGAGCGATCTAACTGAACTTCTGTATGCGTTCCCTGCGCAGCCCTGGGGCTGGAAAAGCCCAGCCATTGGCCCCAGCCCCAGGGCAGCACTTTTTCTACTTGCCCCTGGCACTGGGTTATTTTTAGCCTTCTGGCCCCTTGCTCCACCCTTAGATGGACAACCCACCTCCACCCACCCAAGCCCACTAAACCTGTCATCCTGTAAGCCTTTCCCAATGGTGATGTTACCAGCATTTGCTGGTGCCAAAAGCTGAGGAGGTAGATTGGGGTGGAGGGAGGAACAGGTGGGATGGTGGGATTGGTTCACTAGAGGGGGGTTGTTAACCTGGGGGTGGGGAGAATCAGGGGGCTAAAAATAGCTCTTGGGTTGGGGGGGCGGGAGCTTCCCCCATCCTGCTAAAAACCCCCATGGAGCTGCCACCCCTGCAATCCACCTGCTCTTCCCCCCACCCCAACTCACTTCAGTGAGGCACCTGGGACTGGTGAATGCCAGTAAAACTGCCCCAGGAGCAGTTTTCAGGATTGGGGGCACTTTGGTGGCATTGTGGGGTAGGGGTCTGAGGGGATTTGGCAGGATCAGAGAACCTCTCTGATCCTTTCAACCCCTACCTCAATCCCTCCAGGTCTCCCTGTGGGCCCTGCTTGCCCCCCTGATCCCACCAAACCCTCCCAGACCACAGCCACCCCTTGCAGACCCCACTAGCCCCCCTCCTCAACCTCCCATGTACCCAACAACCCCCATGGATCCTGCTTGTTGCAGTTGGGATTTGATCCTCTATCCCACAGTCGCATTTCCTCCTATGCACGTGGCATGGCAGGAGGCGCGATTGTTGGGATTACCAATCATATCCCATCGTGCCTTTAACCAAACATCTGTCAGCAGCCTAATCTTGGGGAATATTTGCTATGGATGCTTAACCTCCTTATTGATTTCTCATTGTTCCAGGTTGAAACCATTGGAGATGCCTATATGGTTGCCAGCGGCCTCCCGGTCCGCAATGGGATCAAGCATGTTGAAGAAATTGCTACATTGTCTTTGCACTTCCTCAGTGCAATGATCCCTTTCAAGATAGGGCACATGCCTGGAGAGAAGCTGAAGCTCCGTATTGGCCTTAACACTGGTAAATAATGTAAGACTAGTTTGGTTTTGAAATCTGGATTTGCTTTCCTAGTTTTCCTGTTCAGTAGAAATTGAGCTACTCACCCACGTTTCGCGGTTGGCTCAGTGGATCAATTATCCTTAGGATGGGCAAGGTATCAAGTTACAGTCAGATCAAATTTTGAGGGGGGTGAGAAGGGAACCTGATTATCTCAGTCTTATTTCAACAAAGTTTCCCTTGACTCACATCACATGTTTATCCATTATTAAACTGAACTCCAAAATTTTGTTCTTTCTTTCATCTATGGAGTTAAATTGTTACTTCATTCAAGGGTACAGGTTGTAGCCGTGTTGGTCTGAAGAGATAGGCAGACAAGGTTCTTTGGGTAAATCTGGTATCTTTCATTAGACCAACTCAAAATCTTCTTTGCAAGCTTTTGGGTACAAATACCCTTCGTCAGGCCAAAGAAGCATTTGCAGTTGGTGTGTGCGCTCTTCCTGGATGCAATGAATAGTAAAGAAGCCAGAGGCTGGTCTGCACGCAAGTAAAGCAGTCAGTAAAGAAGTAAATTGAGGAGTCAGTGGGTGAGAGACAGGTTGGGAGAGTGGGGGTGGGGAGGGAATAAATGTAGCTGGTTAATAGTGGAGAGATACTTAGGGAGTTGATCTAATAAAAGATACCAGATTTACCCAAAGGACCTTGTCTACCTACTTCATTTAAGCAGATTCAGGTGGTCGCAGCATGGGACAGGAAGTTGGTGATTATGCATTCTGTTTCCACCTCTGTCATGAAGGAGCCAACTTCTGAGCCTAACTTCCTAATATAAAGGAGGCAATAATATGCTGACCTCACAAGGCTGTTGGGAAGATTTATTACTCTTTTTAAAGTACTCTAAGATTGTAGGTTTGAAAGGTGCTTTAGCTGTAGAATGCAAAGCTAGAAATGCTTCCAGATACCTTTAGCGATACTTGTAAATTGATGGCGTTATATAGAGGTTGTGCAATGGTAACAGTAATTTTGGGCCTCTATTTTAGTACCCAATTAAATGATGCCTGTGTTCCCATTCAGTGCTTCCCATTTCCTTGTGGTAAATATTGGCATAGCTTTGTTTCTGTGCTAAGTGATGACTTTGGGGAGAAGCAAAGTGCATTGGAATACCTGCAGTACTTTTCAGGAATTCATTCCAGTGACAGGACTCAAAGTAAGGCTTGACACATAGTGAAGAAATAGTGAAGACTGACTTATACATTTAGGCCACCAGCAAAAAAGTTACTCTTGGAGTCAGACGGGCCTAATGATAAATTAATGATCTGATTTTAATAAATGAGGCCAGCATTACATGCCAGAAGAATCTGGGTGTTTTGGGATATTGTGCACATTTCGGGATGGGAAGACTCTGGTGGTGTTTTTATAGTGGGATAAATGATCTGCTGGATGGAAGGTCCTGCAAAGATGCACGTGCACATGAAAGCAGCCTGATTTGCTGCTGGGTGTGATTTAATTAGCTTGTGTAACAACCCATGCATTGGTTATAGTATGACAATGAGACATTGCATGGGAGGGCAAGACAAGTATAGCTCAATTCACACACAAGAAGTATAGCTGAGAATAGGAGCATGGTCAAGTCTGGATGGGAGGCAACAAAGCGGAGAGTTTCACCAAGCTTATCCCATGACTATGCCAGAAGCCCAGTTGCAATGAGAGGGGATTTCTCCTTCCCCGTGCTATGTGTCCGCTACCCACAGCCAGCCTCACACAGAGTCCTCTGTGGTCTTTCTGTAACTTTCTGTGAAGCTACTAGTTCTGATCACTGTTGGACTCGGGGTATTCTCCCGAGTGAACTGTTAGTCTGGTCCAGTGTAGCAATACCTATCATCCTTTTTGGGGGATGGTTCAGTGACAACAGTAAACATTACAAGCCAAGAGGTGGTGGGAGAGGGGTGGAGATAATTGTTGGAATAATCTGACATGCATCAAATTTTCAGAAGCTCTCCTAGTAATGCAGCTAAGCTACAATACTTGGCTTGTTAAAAGTCATTTCTTATAGTCCTGCTGGCTGTTAGGGGTTATTTCCCATTTTCAGAGCTGGAGAAAGTTATGAACTGCCTGAGTCAACAGAGAGAGTCAGTTCAAAACTGGCTTATCATTGAGATTTCCACGCCTTTGCACCTGAGCTCTGGTCTGGCTCTGGGACTTGGGCACTTTCTGCAGTAAAATGATCCTTCCATTCGGGATGGATTTGGATTAAATCCAATTGACCTGAATTGTGATTTAATCCTTGTTTTCTACAAAAAGTATGTTCTTGTTGTTTGATATAACCTTAATGCATATTATTCAAAACTCTAAAACTATCTTCATATAGGTTGTTTTTTTTTAAAAAAGCATCTTAACCAAAAAAATATGATTAAATACAAATCATCTGATTCAAATGAAGAAAATCCATTTTTTAAATGGTTCATTTTTATCCACCCTGCTTCCATTCCTACAGAAGGCTTCCAGCACAATCCAAAATGGTCTCCAATTCATTAACCTCCTGATTTGCTCTTTCCTTTGCCCTTTAGGCCCAGTTGTTGCAGGAGTGGTGGGAATCACAATGCCACGGTACTGCCTGTTTGGAGACACTGTTAATATGGCCTCAAGGATGGAAAGTACCAGTTTGCGTAGGTAGCACTTATGTTGGTTTTGTATTTGGGATGCACAGGAGACTTAACCTCAACGGGGCATTGTTTTGCTCAGCTCACTGCTAATTGATATTTGTTAACTGTTTCATAATCAGGTAAATTGAACCCGGTGGGTTTTTTCCCCTCTCTGATCATCGTTGTCCAACAAAGGGTGGTCCAGGGAGGTAATGTGTAACATTTCACAAAGAGTAAGAAACCCCATAAAGAATGACTATGCAAATATGCATGCATATTGGCTTTAGACCAACGCTATTCAGTGTCATTGACCTACGTGGCTAATAAAGATCTCCTTTATATTGCAATATGCTAGCTTATTTTTTTTCTCTGCTGTTGTCATGAAGCAACACAATGAAGGCTGACATTGCCACAGATGTTACAGTCACTAATATTCAAAGAGAAAAATAAAGGTTTCATTTTGGTACCCATATGCTTTCCCTATGGAGAGGATTCCTCTTGAAGTGATTTGATTTGAAATGGGGTCAAGTCAAAACCCACATCCTGTTTATAATTCCTACTGAAGAGAGGAAGAGTCAGCACAAAAGGAAAATACAGCCCTCCAGTAGAAAAATACTGGGGTTTGAAACAGGTTGGAGATTTACCTGTAACCAGTTCCTCTCCTGTTTTACTCCAGACAGCCTATACACCTATATGTAGTAATTAAACAGATCTGTTTTGCTGTAGCTTTTCGAATCCATGTGTCCATGACCACTGCTAATGCCCTGCAATCCATCGGAGGTTACAACTTGCAAGAAAGAGGCACCATAAAAGTAAAGGTACAAATATCAAGAATGTAGTATATGAATGCAGCATGCAAGGTGGGCTTAGATCTAATGCACTAGACATTATCTGAATTACTCCATAAGGATATCTAGTGTGGGCAGATGAATGTTTTCCTGAATATGAACTAAGATGAACAGCAATGCCCTGGTTTAAATACACATGAACACATCTGATATGGATGTTTAATACTAGGGCAGTGGTGCTCAAGCTTCTGGGGCCCAGATGAGTAGCAAGGGACCAGTCTGCACACTGGACCCAGCTCATGGGCTCAGTGCACTGGGTCGGTCCCCAGGTGCAATCAGCACGTGGCTCAGCCCTGTGCACTGGCCTGAATCCATACATGGCTCAATCTTGTGCACTGGATCCAGCCACTTGCCAACTGAAACCCATGCACCAGATCTGGCCACGTGACAGCCTGACCCTACATGTTGGGCAGTTGTGTAGCTAGGGGTGAGTGAGAGGGGCCCCGGTCCTAGTTGCCAAATTAGGAGCAGTGTTGTCCCAGCAGCATACCCATGCTGGAAACTCCAGAACAGTCCCTGGCTGTGCCACTTTGAGAGCAATAGCTGGGGCTGGCAGAGCATGTGCACCAGCAGCTCAGCTGAGACTGTGGAGTGCCCAGCATTGGTGAGACTGCTGCCCCTTTTCTCAGGCCCATGCATGCCCCCCACCCTCCACTCTTGGATCCTGTGCCCCTCTCTCTCCCACTCTTGGATCCAAAGCCCTCAGCTCCCAGGGTCAGAGCCTGTGCCCTTGCCCCCTGCCCCCACAGGGCACCAACTCTGCTTGTTATTCAGTGACTTTGGCTCAACCACTTGTGCTGGAGCAGGCTATGTGCCTTATCCAGGTATGTGTCAATCTGGCCCCACCACTTTGGCCCCGCTGCAGGCTGGTGTGATCTAGCATGGAGGGCCACATCATCTGCCCTGTAGGGCCACACAAAGGTGTGGAAATTTGGCAGCAAGGGAGCTGCCATTAATGCTACTACTACTCCCCCACCACCAAACTTTTGGATTTATGGGAAGACCCCTAGGCTGGATGGCATGGTCTTAGAGGCCAGAGGCTGAGCACCCCTATGCTCAGGTATAATCCAGACAGGCTCCATTATGGTGCACACAGTAACAGCTGCCTCACTCAGGGTAGCATTTGCAAAAAATGGAGGAGAATAGAATTAAGCTTTCCAGAACAAAACAAGCTAAATCTGTGGTGTATTTGGTGTTTTTTCCTTCCAGTGACTCCAGTGAGCATTAAGAGCTCTCAGAACCTGATGTCAGTGGATCCTGTGCCTCTAAAAAAAAATCTTTTTGCATTCTTTGTTAATAATAGTACTAATTATAGTTATTTATGCTGCCTGGCCTGCAGCCCTATTATGTCTAAGCACTGTATCAACATAACCGAGAATAGTCACTACTCCAAAAAAAATTACAGTTGATGATATTTTTCCCCCCTCTTAAATTCTTTGTATGACTCTACACTGTTTTCTTTCTTACCAGGGCAAAGGGCACCAACAAACCTTTTGGTTAAAAGGGAAATCTGGGTTTAACATGCCTCTGCCAGAGTTCAGTGATAACAAAGAGGGCAATTTGCAGGGGCCTTTGCAGGTAAGACTACTTAAAATGCAGGTGGAAAAGTTTACTCTCTGGAGAAGGATCTCATATTGTGGGTCTTGCTGAACTTGCTAGATTGGGCATCGCCTCTTGTTGCAGCATAGGAGACTTTGGAGGGATTAATTACCCTTTGGGTCAAACCTCAGCTGGTATAAATCAGCGTGACTCCATTGACTTCAGTACAGTTGCTTCCTCCTACACCAGCATAAAATCCAGCCTACAATGTTATCAAGAGAGTGTAACTCCAGTCTGAGTGTTCAGTAGAGGCATAGTAGTCCATTTTCATATTGAATTATAGGTTGGAAGTGACCCACCATGCTAAGATGGGGAATGAAATTATACTTTACTAAAGAGTTTCAAGCCATGATGTTTTCCTTTTTTAAATAGGTTTTTTGAATGTATAATGGTAATAATATTAATCATAATAATAAACCTGTGTGAAACTTCCTCTCATTCCAGATTCTCTGTGGGTCTGCAAAACCTGCAACAGGATCTGCATTGCCGTAAGGAATATTGCAAAGCCAAAAAATCCCACAGAAATGTCTTCTAAGGGGTACCTTATTAGAATATGAAATGATCTGGAATGACTTAAATCCATCTATCTACTCTAAACCCAGCCTAGAATAATCTGTCCAAGACTCTCCACAGTAGTCTATAAAAGCAAAAAAAAAGGGTTTAGATCTGATACCATCGTCTCTCAAGTCAACATGGCATATTCTGTTTATTACCTTAACCCCGGTTCTAGGAGATTTCACTTTAAGTTATTTAACCATGTTAGCTCCTTTCATCTGATACTTTAAACCTTAATATACCCTGAGTGAAGGAAAGAATCTGAAAACTTTGGGTACACTGCATGTAGTATCATCTGTGGTCTTCAGCAATGAATAAATGTGACAGGGAGTTTCAGTAGGACGGTGACTTGGATGTTTTAATAGAGTAACTGCAGTGATTTCTCTCCCTGTCATTAGTTGAGTGTCATGTTCCTATGTTTTATGTGATAGATTAAGCATTGAACTGGAATGGTAAGGTAAGTTACTTTTCTTACAATATGACAAACAGAATATGATGTCACGACTATGTCAGTATGTAAAGGTCTCAGTAAGGCTATGATTCACTGTCTTAAGCCCTGTGCAAGCACATCATTCCCAGCACCTCCTTCACTAAAGGAGTCAGTTCAAAACGAGATGCAACAGGGCTTGTACACACGCAGCCTGGAAGGGAGGAGGAAGGAAAAACAGAGGAAGGGAAAAAATAATTGATTGCTACAGCATCAGTCACAATAATCTCAAAGATGAAATGGAAAAAAGGTGAATACATGAAATGCCAGTTTGTAAAGGACAATACTAATGTGGGTAATAACCGAGATTCAGGGAGTGACTGTATGCTTATAAAAGAATGAGAAAAGAAGAGAGAGATTTAAGCAAATGGAGAGAGCATTAGAAGGAAGATAGAGCCTCATGCTTCAGGGTGGAAGTGTAGCCTCTGACTAGTGTAAATTAACATTAAAATGTCATGCAGTGTTCATCTCGGTGGCACGCTGTGGGAATATTGGCACCTTCCTCTGAAGGATCAGGACTGCTGGAAACTGGCTTGTGATGCAGTGGTTCTTTTGTTTTTATTTCTATCATGTTCTGGCTGTATCGCATGCATAGATGTATGTAAACCGGGCACCTCCATTAATGGAGACAAATAAAGAAATAAACATACCAAGCGTGTTCCTTTCAGTCTCCTTTATCACAGATTCAGAAAAATTGATAGAAAAAGAGCTATTAGATCATCCATTCCATCTCCTTCCACAATGCAGGATTGTCCCCTACTGGACCTTTCTATGGATTTTAAATGTCCAAAGCACAGGACCTTCCATCACTTTTCACTGAAGAACGACTCCAGAAACACATCTGACTCTCAGGGAAAGATCATGTCTCCCTCTAGCAGTGGTTGATCAGTACCTTCCAGATACTGTTTGTTTAAAGTTGATCGTTTTGTCGCTACCATTAACAACAATTTACATAGCACCGTTGAACTGAAATGAGGCCCCATTGTACCGGACACACGTATAGTCAGTCCCTGCCCCATTTTTAATTCTTGTCTAGTCCAAGTGGTAAGGATTGATTCTTTTGGTGCAACTGGTCTTGCATTTGATCCCTGCTGGTAATTAGCAAGATATATATGTATGCAGCCATGGTAGATTATATACAGCTACTGGTTTATTGAAGCATTTTTAGTAGTTAATGCAGTTCCATGGACGAGTTAATGCAATATTTCTGATTTCACGAGGGCAATAGGGGAGGACATATCTTGTTTAGCTCTTGGTGGGTAGGGTGTACAAGATAGCTACGGGCTTGATCCTATCAGGGCTGAACACTTGGATCTGATCCAGTGAAGCCCTTAATCAGATGGGTATCCCTGCTGACTTCATTTGGGCCAATCTTGAACTTAAAGTCAAGCATGGATTTAAGAGTTTTGTTGGGCTGGGCTGAAACATTCAGAATCTTGCAGGATCTAAAATGAAAAGGGGAGGCCTGTAGCACACAGTAGGGCTAAAATGGAGCATAATTCACTTCATTTTGGGGGGGGAAGGAGGGAGTGAGGTTGGTGTATATGTATCCCTGTGTATATGTGTTGCCTTGTGCCACCACAGTTCAAAGGGGAGAATCCAACAGCGTATGTAAGTGCTCACCTTTGACTTTTATCAAACAGCTGCAAAGGTTGAGGAAAGAAAAATCAGCATCATAATTCCCCACTATTACAGAAACAAAAATCAAGGCACGCATCATTTACTTTCCCTGTAATATGATGCAGTTTCTTTTTATCTGAGTAAAATAAACATCTTTTTTAGTAGTAAAGTGTAGTTCCAAACAGGGACGTTAGGTAGTGCTGCGGGGCAGTGTTTTATAGTAGAACAGCACACATCCCAATCATGAAGATTAGGTGAAAGAGAATATCTGCAAGTGAATCACAAAGAGAAGTAGTAAGTACTTGGCTGAAACTTCCAGCTGCCTTTTAAATTCTGTTCAGGGTTTTATCCTATGCCCGTCACCATGGTATCTGTGCTCCCTAAAGCGACTCTGTCAATGTGTCAGCTTTAACAGATAAACTCTGAAGGAGGTTTTGCAAGTCCTACTGCATATACAAATGCTTTCATGGTGTGCATTTTAATGCAATGAAATCACAGTTTTGCTTCCCTGTTTATTTTTGGAAATCCTAACAGAGCAGCATCAATCTTATTTGCATGCGCTAGAGAGTGTAATGGACAATTAACAGTGAAGTGCAACAGCCTACTTCCATTGTCCAAGAGGAGTGAAGTCCTGCAAAAGTAAGTAGAGCACACACATACTGAGGAATCAAATGTGATTTAGAAACATTTCATTTGTGGTAATCCCACTTGCTATTAGGAGCAGAGTTTACAAGGACTTTTTTTATGCTGACAGAGTCACTTCAGATACAATTTGGGATGGTTATTGTTGGCGTCTATTTTGTCCCTTACCTGAGAGGTGGCTAAGACTGGATAAACCTTTACCTGTGTAAAATAAGAAGAGAAATCGTTTGAACTGGCATGTTCAAAATAAGGCAAAATACACCAATGTGACTACACACAACAGGCTGAAAAACACCAGGCAGGCATTTGACCCATTTGGGTTTAATATATTTTCTCTTGTGACATCTCTTTTGTGAACCTACAGCTGGATGGGTTGGAGGGGGTGGGGGGTGAATCCTTTCTCTTCTCCATGGTTTCACGTAGGTGAGAAGAAGTGTGCAAATAGAGATACATTCACTGACATCACTGGACTTCCACCAGCATCAGTAAGAGGAGAATCCTCATTTGTACTAATGCCCCTTCGTTTAGCTCTGGAAGCAGGGAGGTCCTGTGCAGCTGGTGTAGGGATCAGTGGCATGGTAGTGCAAAGGGCTCTTAGCAAAAATGCAAATTCAGACCATATTGTTCAAAGAAACCAGACTGCAAACTTGTTGGATTCTGCAGACCTGCATCTGCCTATTGAGTAACACTGGGGCCCTCCTTTAGTAGTGCTAGGCAGAGGAATCCATGGAGTCTTGCTGGAAACGAGAACAGGTTTGAGGGAACTAAACTGCATTAGTGTTGGGGCAGGAGGATTCTTGGGGACAGGGTCCCCTGGATCCACAGCTATGCAGCTCCACTAGCCAGAAGGATTCATGGTAAAGACACCTGCGTCCCCTGGCAGAGTACATCTGCTCTTCCATCTCAGTGGAACTTCCCTGCAACCAGTCTCTAAACTTAGGTTGCCTGTATTTTGCAGGATTATCGTCTGAAAGCCTTTGACAGCTTAACCTGAGTAACGATTGCAGGACTGGTCCTTCTCCAGCAAAAACAAATTGTTCCAAAAGGCCAAAAAAGTCCACAAATGATTATTCGAGTACTGCTAATATCCCCCCTTCTCCATCAACGGACAGGATCCACAAAACTAAAACTGTTTCTAAGCATAATCTTTCCGGTGTCACGTTTCCTGCAAGGGAGAGGGGGACTTTTCCAAATGGAAACCGTCTACACTTACTGCGCACTGCCAGTTCCACCACCAAAACTCCTCCCGTTTGTTCCATACGTTGTTTTCGTTTTTCGCACGTCTCAAAAGGATAAAGAAAAAGATGTTTATGAATAAGAGGCTGAACATCGGTGGCTTTCCTTTTGTTAGAAAACGAATCTCTAGCAATCGTTGTGCTTTGCATTTAGAAAAGAAACATGACAGATTTCAGTTCTTTTCTCCACACTTCAGCGGCGGGAGGGAAATGACGGGACAATGCTCACTTTGCAAAGAGATGCTTGCTATATATCTGCTGGCAATTTGGGAGGGAGTTCACCTGGACCCAACTGTAGATTTAAAACTGATTTTCAATTTAATGTGCGGCTTTAAGGTGGTGAAATGATAGCACTCAAAACCACAGGTTTCCTAACCTAACCCTTCCCACAATACCTTATAAGAGGAAGCAAAGTTGGTCCCTATGTATGCTGTAAGTTATTGCCTGGATGACTCATGACCACCAGGGAGTGCTCTGGATCCTATGACCCCAGCTGACTTCCTGCCCTTCGGGCAGGGGGCTGGGCTCGATGATCTTCCAAGGTCCCTTCCAGCCCTAATGTCTATGAAATCTATGAATCCATTCTGTATAAAGGTCCAAATCTAGCACGAATGGCTTCTGGCATTGCTGAAACTGAAATCAGTGCGATGCAAAGCAAAGGCTCTTGCTAAAGTTTTTCATTTAACAAAAGCTGCACACCGTAACGCTGATTTTAAAAGCATTATATTGTCTGCAAACCCAGAAATGATTGTGCTTAGGGCAGTCTCCGGGGCACGAGATGTTTGGGTTTTTCAGCTCCTGCTGAAAGTGTCAGGTGAGAGAGTCTTGCATCAAAATTTTCTAAGTAAGGCATGGTCGATTGGGGAGGGGCTCTCCCTTGTGAGGTGGATGGTGTAGGATTGAGCCCTTTTGGGTGCAGGATGGACTTGAACACAGGACTCAACATCGGAGGTGAAATACTATGGGTTTTGATGTTTTGGCAGGTTTGGGTCAGATGTCTAAACTTCAACAAAGGTACTTAAAACATGTATTAAACATAATTTTCCAAGTCCTATTTAATGCCTCTGTCGCATGACAGCTGCTCCTCCAAATTCATCACTTTGGCTCTAATAAGATCATCTTGGACTCTAATAAGAAGATTGCAATAGGGAAGCATCTCTTAGTAGCAAAAAGTTGGATTTATGGACCAGAACTATAAACCCCTCAACACCTTATACTTAAGGTCTTGGATATGAATTTCTATCTTGAGTCTACTTAGATGAACTTACCACAGGACAGGAGAACTTTTCACTGTCACATATATGTGTTTCACAGTGCAGCCAAACCTTGGATAGTTTGGGGATATTTCGGAACCGGAAAGCATTAAACTGGAAGGTGGCCCGGGCAGCTTTCCCATTTTCATGTACTAAAATGGAGTCATCTGTAGGACAGCTGAGTTGCATAGAGAGAAGCAGCATAAAAAAAGAATAGCTGATCACGCTTGCCTTTTGGCACTGTGCTTTCCTTAGTGACCTTCACCACCATTGCCATGGCATTTTAGCTATCTGAAGCCCATTTTGATGGTCATTGGGCCACATTTTGCTCCCAGTCTCTGTATCATGTAAAGTCGCAAGCGAGCTGCTTGGATGCAAGTGAAAGCAGATAGAGATCCTCTTACAGCTACATCAGGCAACCCTCGATGGCAGGAACCAACACTTGCTTTTGGTATCTGACTGATATAATCATGTGGTGACTATACACACTCTTCCAAAACAAGAAACTAATCACAAACAATTATCTCTAAACCTACACGGGTCCAAGTTGTTTCTGGACCACAACGCCCAGGCTGTTTCATAACCTGTGAGACCACTCTCCAAAGTGCTCTCTCTTTTTGTGCATTATGATAGAGCAGGGGTGGCAAAATACAGGCCAGGGGCTGGATCCAGCCCACCAACTGCTTGTATCCGGCCCACCAGTGGACAGCCACAGTGTCGTGGGATCTGGCCTGTGGGCAGCTGGCAGCTCTGGCTCCTGTGTGCTGCTAGGTGGATGGGGCTGTTTCTGCCATGACAGGCAGGTGGGTGAGACTGCTTCTGCCCAACGCTGATGTGGTGGCATAAGCTGTGGACCTAGGCAGATGCCCGGTCCCCACCCAGAACCTGCCAGCTGCATCCACAGCTGATGCCGATGCCCGCCTGGGGCTGCTTCTGGTGTGCTGGGTGGATGCTGGCATGAAGTGCGGACTTAGCCGACATGCTCCAGGTTGGGATGGGGATCGGGGCGTGCTGCAGCTCTGGGCAGCATGGGGATCAGCAGGAGGAGGGAGGGACAGAGAGAAAGAGAGGTGTGCCCCTTGACTTAGGGAGTTTTGGTGAGCTGCTGTAGGATGGGGGCAGTGCTGACCTGGCCTAGCAGGGGCAGAGGGGTGCTGATGTAGCCCACAACAACTCACCAAAACTCCCTAAGTGGCTCTCCAGCCCAAATAATTGCCCACCCCTGTGATCGAGGCTAACACGGTCACTCAAATGACCTAAAAGGACATGACGTAATGGCTAACATCTTCTGTTCCAAGAAAACATCCTTTGGCTTGAGTCTCCCCGATTACCTACCCTTTTGTAATCAGCGGCCACTGGATTTGGTAGAAATACTCTGACGTAGGCGTTGCCCAGCAGTTGTTCAGAACTACTTTAAACCTGGGGAGAAATGGAGCAACACCCAGACATCAGCCACAAGCTGTCTTATCCATGACTGCTTCCCCACCCATACCTTACTGCCTTTCATACCTGCCACTTAACCCTTTAGCTTCCACTCCAGCAAATACATCTGACCCAATTTCTGAGGTTTCCACAACAAATGGAGCTTCTTTCTTAGTTGAAAACTTGGCATTCTTGGAGAGAGAAAAGTACGGTGTATTAATGGCGTTGCTTCAAAGCAAAGGCATGGGCTAACTCTAATGGTTGCCTTTAATGCAGAGCCAGATGGGTCTGACACCCCTGCTTTAAAGCAGCAGGCTGGAATACGTAGCTCATGTGTGTTCAGACACAGAGCTCGAGTTAGGACTGTGTTGAGGCAAGATTATACTCATTTGCCTTCGCAACCACTTTCCCCCTAATGACACAACATAACAGGCGCTGATGCAACTGAGCCTGTGCCTTGCTAAGGGTTCAGTGTGACCTTCTTTTTTTGCCAGGAAAGGGCTTTGCCAGCAACATTATATTTGGGTCAAGGAAAAAAAAAGACTTTGCAAAAAAGTTAGTTGCAAAAGGAGTTGTGCCAAACTGACCAGGCTTTGGTGCAGATATCCAGGTAAATTCTGTGTCTGTCGCACCCTCAACTGTACTGTTTATCAGGTGGTGAAATCTTAAAACAAAATCTCAATAGAGACAAGCATTAGAAAGAAAAATCCAGTGTCCCCTAGAGATGTCAGGGGAGCATTAAGCATCTGCTATGCTGTATCTGAGTATATGAGAAGACCGATTGGAAAATTTCAGGAGGGATGAAAGGGACTCTTCTTAGCAATGCCGGCTGCAGATTTATGCCTGCCTTTGACTAGGGCTACAAACAAGTATACCTCTTTCTTATGACACCACTAGAAGTTGCTAATGTGTTAGAGCAATGAACTCTAAGTGAAGCAGCCTGTATTCTTATGGGAAATTGCCTCCTATAGAAGAGCAAGCGGCATGCATCTATGCTGTTCATGACCTGTTTACCTCTTCATCTTTTAGAAACAAGACCCCCTCCAAGTCCTATGTTATCTGTTACATGATGACGGTGTGTTCAGCAGCGTACAACACAAAAAAAGAAGTGTTAAGGCCAGATTTCTTTCCACTTGTGTCAGTTTAAAGATCAAATAAATCTCCTGAGATCAGCGAAGTCACAGCAGCGTGAAGACGCTTGCTACCTAAACACTGGTGATAAGGAGCACTTACGCTGTAGAAGTTGAGTGATAACTGACTTTCAAATGAGCCAGAGCTCCCATTCTTGACATGGATTGTTGCCACCCTGGGCAAGGGAAAAAAGAAGGTATGAATGAAAGAGATCATTGGAAAAGGACGCTGGTACATGCCAAGATGCGAGACTTCAGGGGCAGTAGATAGATTTACCTTTGATCGAAGGCAGCCTGGTTCACCAAGTAGTTTGCGCGGTAAGTGCATGTGAAGGAGTAATTCACAGGCTGGCTCTTCACAATCACGGTCGTGTCGTTGGACACAATGGAATTATAGAAGTGATACAGGGGGCTTTTAAACTGCAGTAGAGAGAACACACAGAGAAACCCCCCCCGCAATGAAAGTGTGGGGCCAACAGGGACTTTGCTCTCTGAAACAGGGAGAGGCAACCCTGTGATGGAAGCGGCGCTCAGAAAAACTGTGTCATGATTCTTCAGGAATCAGAACTCATGGCAGAGGTGATATCTTTTGCAACCAACCAGATATTTGCAAATTCATTTGCAAGCTTTTGGGCACACTCGCCCTTCCTCAGGCATAGAAGAATGCAAAGATTGTAAAATGTCTCCTGCAATCTTGCTGGGTTTTTGGTTGTGGCCATGCTGGTCTAAGGACATAGGCAGGCAAGGTTTTTTGGGTAGATGCGACATCTTTTATTAGACCAACTGAGGAGTTGGAAAAAAGTTCTTTGCATTCTCCTATGCCTGAGGAAGGGTGAGTGCGCCCAATAGCTTGCAAACAAAGAATTTGTTTGCAAATGTCTAGTTGGTCTAATAAAAGATATCACCTCTGCCACAAGTTCTGATTTCTTTTGCTTGTAGACCAATACAGCTACAACCTGTATCCCTGAATCAAGTTCTTCATAGATTTGTGTGACAGCAGTGTCTCAAGGCACCATTGCACTTGGTGTTGTGTACACATGGTAATGAAAAGACTGTCATAATGGTACATGTACAAACAGGAAGAGATAGGAGATCTAATTCCACAAAGGGAATTGCCAGCTTGGCTTTACTAGGGATGAACAGTTTGATTTCCCACATAAATACAAATGATTTGTGCAGCTGAAAAGTTTTAAAGCTTTTTTTTTAATGCCAATTTATACCCTCCCTTTTCCAGGTACAGCCCGAGAGCCCGCTACAGCTAATAGGAATGCTTTCACTGACTTGTATAGGATTAGATGTACTCTCCCATGGAAGTAATATTTATGGTTGATGTACGTACCTCTGATTGGGTCCCACAGTAGGACTTGTTTTTGGGTGATAAATCTGGGATTGTGAACTGGTAGTATCCTGAATCATGGATTCCATTGTAGCAAACACCTCCAAGAGCCAGCTGATTAACCTCCCATCCATAAGGACATTCAGGGATTCTTGTAATGATAGTGTTAGGGTAGCAGTACACCAGAACTGCATCTGAAAGGACAATAACACAGCTTACTCAGTTGTATTTCCTAGCATGAGAGGCTGTGCTAAAATCTGAACTTCTTACAGGAGTGTTTGTGCTGAGAATTTGCATCTTTTTAGCTGAAGCTGGAATCTGATCCAGGACTATGGAAGGTTTGCTACTAATCTCAGTAGCAGCAGGTTGCAGTACAGGGCTGGGATTTTCAAAGTGCCTGTAGGAGCGATACACTGAAATCCTGTTAGAGGTGTATCCATAGGGATGTACCTGGCTAACCCCTATAACCTTTTTGGAAAACCCACATCAAATCTATTGGAAAATTATAGTAAGTTAAACTCTTTGGAGGGAATTCTGGTCTCCACTAGAGTTGATGGCCACGATGTGGCTGTATCGCCTTTTGTGCAGGTTTGATGGTAAAAATGTTGATCGAAGAGCAATAAAGCTGTGAAGGACAAAAAAGTGAAATATCACAACAGTGAAAATCATCATGCTAGTTTGCATTTGGATAAAGACTGATTCTTAACTGATTGAAGCAGTACTGATTGTTCTGAATATAATCTGGGCAAGGTAGCTCGGTTGCATCAGTGGCTTTAGATCTGTCTACTGTGGCTTTAGATCTGGGTCATGCTATTGCTAAAGGTTTTTATAGTGACACTCTGGATCGCAGTAGCTGGCCCAGCAGTATGGCAGCTGTTCTTTTTGCACAACTCCCAACACAGCACCCAGGACTGGTGCCCCACTTGCCCTTCCCTGCCCTTACCCCCACCTTTAGTTGCATTGCTGCTGACTCCTGTTACACTGATATTTGGGTGCCAATGTGATCATGTTTTATTAAATCAAAAGGGAACATGCAAATATGAAACGGATCCCCCCACTTCCTTACTAATGGTCAATACAGAGCACGTACCCAAATGTGAAGTAAAGATTGCTATACAAATATTACACACAAGAAAGCTTTAGGGCTATTTTACCTGGTCATGGCGGGAGAGTGAATCTTATTGAAATAAAATCAGATTTCATTAACTTGAAGTTACAATATTGATTGTAAAAGGCAAAGGCCATTTTAATCACCAGTGGAATGAAAATTGAGTTTAGATTACCAGTTACTTACCAGCAGGTTAGACTCAGAAGCAAGGTGTCTTTCCTAGGTTGCTATGACACACACACAACTTGATCAGATATTCGTTCCGTCGAGCCTTGTGGATTCTCAAGGAATGGATGATTGAAACATTTGAGTGGCCACGTTAATAAAAAACCGTCAAGCCCCACAATCTGATTTTGCCTATATTTATGCTCTTAATGTAGCTCTGCTGTGTTCAGGGAGATGGTTTGTGTGGCTAAAAGTACACGTGTGTAAAGGTTTAGGAGCCAAGCCTTTATGATGTGGCTAAAATGAATCAAAAACTCATAGGAATAATGTAGGGCAATCTATTTTATGACCCAGTGTGAGGTCAGAAACGTATTGTATTGTGACGGAGATACAATTGGTTATTTATCCATAGGACAGTTCAACAAACTATTTCATGCTGGTCGTCAGGCTGTAGTCAATGGGACTACTCACAGACTGCTGGTAGGGGAAGGATCCATGCACACCGAATCCAGAAGTTAGTGTATTATATTACTTTGTAGTTGTTTTTATGTTCAGAAGTTGTTATACCCTGAATACCCTGATCCTGCAAAGACAGACGTGCATCTGTGACTACCACACTTGTAAGACTCTCCTGCACTGGGCATTTGTTTGTGCTCTCCTCTCGTCGGTGCTAGCTAAGTGTAAAATCAGACCAATACATCGTGGTCAATTTTTTATATGCAAAAGCCTCTTCATTTCAGTCTATGAAGGCCGATGTTTCATTTTTACATAAGCAAAAACTCTCAGCTGCTTAATAAATGCAGATAGAAATACAATTAAATTGAAGCGGTTTTACCTGCTTTATTTGGATTGCAAGGTGGTGGTGCATAGGCTTGATGACTAGCCAGGATGACCAGGAAATAAACGGCTACAATCACCATTTCTTACAAGAAGCTCACTACACCGGTAATAAAAGCAGTTCACCTATCAAAATGCAAAAAGAAAAAGGAAAAAAAAAAGGAAATCCAATGCAATCATACAACTGTAGCAACCTTTAACACTGGGGCAAAGAAAGTGCATCGTGACTATAATAATGTCATTATTATTCATTATGTGGCACGGCTCCAACAAGAGGTCACATTTACTGACAATTTCTGCCTCTTTTGTCCCACTGCTGACATTTTCATCTCAAGTCTACTAGTGCATTTTGTACCATTGCTAGGTTGCTTTACTCCTGCAAAAAATCACAGAGCAAAAGGGCTACAAATATTCGCTTTAAAATTTGAAATTACGAAAAGGGGGAGCACAGTACAGTACAGACCTGGAAAAAATAAAGCAGGAGAATCAGAAAGAAGGGAGAAGAAAGCTAGGAAGATGCACAAAATGTAGGTAAAAGTGGATATCTAGACTTAACAGCACAATACAGAAACTGTTTTCGTATTTAAGTCACAAAGTAACATAGCAAAGCAGTTTTGGTGAAGGATGCGGTTTTTTCCTTTCATGTTAGGCGTTGCAAAATAAAAGTATGAATTAATTATCAAATCCTTCAATCACAGGCCTCCAAGCTATTCTAGAGGTGTGCAGGTATATGCTACCACAGAAAAATGGCAGCATCCACACTAAGTTACTTGTAGTTTTTCAGGGTAGGGGCTTTTAGGGAATTCACACAAATTACTTAGTAGATAGAAATGACAAGTGAAAATTAGCCAGTAAGGTGCCTGGTTAGAAGGAAAGTTTTCCTTTGCAACTAGTAGTTCCCAGCACAAATAGTCTGTTTAAACATTTTCATTCAGTCTGGATTTAATATATATATATATATATATATATATATATATATATATATGCTGACCATCTAAGCGATTATTCCTTTTAGAGAGAATCACCCCCTGCAAGAAGTTAAAGGAATAATACCTACAAGACAGGAACAGGGGACATTTCAGACGTTCATTCTCTCTGCCTTATTCCACCAGCTGCGTGTCTGTTCTTCCCAAGATGTCCTCTTTTCAAATGCACCCAGCTGGTATTATCTCCAATTTATATAGGCCATCTTGTAAAAGAAACCCATCTCCAGTTAAATCTCAGTGAGCCAGTATTGTCCAATGCAGGAGGGGAAAAAAGGATTGTACAACATAACAGAATAGAAAGTTCAGTCCCTCTAGCGCAGACTAGACATGATGAATGCTATTTGAGTTATTTTAAAAACTTTTTGTATGCTTTTATTCTTCAGAGCTGTTTAAAAAAAAATCCTCAAATAGAATTCTTCTAAAGGTATGTAAATGGTACTGGCCGTATTTTATATCTTAACATGGAAGATAATACAAGGAATTTTTTTAGAGGCAGAATGCCAAGTACGTGCTAACTGAGGTCAGGTTGCTTAGAAGTGCATTTACAAATGAATTTGTCTGAATGCAGATAGGGTGAGACTTTCAACTGTGCCTCAGAGAATGAAGTGCCAAGTGTCTTTGTCAGTAAAGAAGAGCCAGGTGCCTATCTCTCCAAGATGATTTTTGAAAGTCCTACCCTTTAATGGTACCCAGATGAACAGTGGAGACAATGTTAGATGGATTATTTACCATCTTGGGGTTATTTTGTGTTTCAATAGTTTGTTTTAAATTCATTGTTTTGCACACGTTCATATTGATGTAACCTGGACTATTTGTTCATAGGCAGGACTTGTTCCTATCCCAGAAACAGGAACAATCCATCTCTCTTCAGGACCCCAGGACAAAGCTTATTTCCTCTGCAAGTGGCCAGCTGTGACCGAAAAGATGTGTAGGTAGCGATGTACATATTCCTTTGATGCAGACATCTGATTGCTACTTTAGGTGCTCAGAGCCCTGGCTTAGTTGCATTCTGACCCTAACGGTACATACGTTTCCTAAGCTGCTAAATTCCCACCAGTGTAGCTCTCTAGCTGAAAGGACTAGGGTTATTTAGTCTGGACAAGACGAGACTGACAGAGGATTTGATAACAGTCTTCAAGTAACTGAAAGGCAATTCTAAGGAGGTCAGAGATGGACTTTGCTCTGTGGCTTTAGGGGCAGGATGAGGAGCAATGGCCTAAACTGCAACACAGGAAATTTAGGTTGGGGATTAGGAAGGACTTTGACTCTGAGGGTGGTCAGGCATTGGAACAGGCTCCCTAGAGAAGTTGTGGATTTTCCATCCCTGGAGATTTCCAAGCGCAAGTTGAACAGACACTTGGCTGGGATGGTTTAGTCAGGGATTAATCCTGCCTTGAGCAGATGGTTGGGCTAGATGACCTTGTGAGGTCCTTTTCGGACTTTTTTTTTCCTGTGACCCTAATTATCTGTTGCTGAACAAGTGTGCACTACCCAAATCTTGGTCGCAGTGAGCTACTTGTCGACTAAGCCACAGCAGGATTCACAAGCCAAGAGTCAGGTCCTATAGATATTTTCAGAGCATGCTTACCAGTGTGCCTTGTTCAAGGTAATGGTGATGGTGCTCTGTGCACCCCCCCCCCCGCAATAGCCCTGTGGTTAGAATACTCACATGGGAGGAGCCAGGATCAATGCTTTAATGTATAAAGGAATATTTTAATGCACGTTACCTTTTTTGATGCAACACAATATATTGTGATTGGCATTACACTTTTTTAGTCTCATTCCTAAGAAAGTCTTCTCACAAGTACTATAAAATGATTGTACCGCAGGAGAATGTGGTGTGAAATGATGTCCAGTGTGATGTGCAGAATACAAGAATGTGAGAATTTGCTGGTAATAATTAGTTGGGGAGCCATATTAGTTTATTAGTTTTATAGAGCGCTCCATTGATTTTGTTAGTAACTTACAATTTGAGTGTATTAGATGACTGTTGGTATTTTAAAAAACTGAAATGAAAACATAAAACCAGACCTGACTTCTTACTTCAAAAAATAAGCTCTGGCACTAGTTGCAAAAGAATTGCAAAATTAGATTATTATATATTAAACAAGCTCTCCCTTTTGCCATCTGGAGCCCAATCCTGCCAACTCTTATTCATTGGTTTAAATGAGATTACTTGCACATGGTCAGCCATGCAGGCTCAGACCTGTTGATCATAATATATTTTCAACTAAGTTAAAGAATAATCCATTGTACCAGAGCTCAAAACCCAAATCCAGTTTTAATCTGCAATATCCAAACCCCAACATTTACGTATTTCTTTATAGAAATGCAACTAGAATGTATGGTATCCAAGGCTAAGTACAGACAGTCAAAAGCTGGAGGCTGAATCGATTCAGCTCAGCCCCTGGGGGTACTTTGCATGTTAGTCTAAGCAAGGGAACGCACATTCACTTTTGATTCTGGAATGCAGCCACATGCCTAAATTGGCCCAGGCCAGAAGCTGGGGGGAGCTAGAACATGCCTCCCTTTTTGACTAGAGTAGACACCTTGGGCCAAAACTAGCTGGTTCACCCTACAAGGGAGGGGTTTGCAGGGAAGATGCAAAGCATCCTGGGATGCTGGGGGACTGTGAGGTACCTTGAACTGGGAGGGGATCTGGGACAGAAATTCGATAGACCAATTAAACCTAAATCAGTTAAGTTTGATACTACATTCATCAGGTTTATCTTAAACCAGTTTCGGCCATTTTGAAAGAGGTTTATGTGCACTGAACTTCTGTTGTGTTACACATTTGACCCAGTTTCTGATCACTTATATCAGTTTATGTGCAATTTCTGTCCCTAGTCCAAAGGTCTGCTCACTATCTTTTTTTCATAGCTTTTGTAATTCTCTATGCTTCCTAGTTTTGTCTGGGCCTGGGAACGTAAGTGTTGAAACACCACCAGACAAACTGTTCTCAGGGTTCCAGGACCCCGTGCATAACTAGAAACATCCTGTGAGAAAACCTTGCAAGTTGGCCCAACCCAACATTGCAGCTCAAAGGGAACCACTTCAGACCTGGGAGAAGTGAAGGCAGCTTGGTTTCAGTGGAGTTGGACCCACTTGCTGGTTTTATCAGGAGAGGTTCCATGAAGTTTGGACGAACAACTTCTTGGTTGTAGGCCTAACATAAACACATGGGAAAATATATAGAAAGAAGCATGTATATATTTGATTGATCATCTACTGATATTCATTTTAAAAACCATTTAAAATGTGTCTTTAGCTACATCTACAGCTTTTGATTTGAGGCTGGGTAATGGGAAAAAAATTGTCCCTGGTGTAACCCCACGGTCTTTGATGGAACTACACCAGCATGGATTTAGCCCAATCATTTTAGGGAGGAACTAAATCTCTCACAATCTCTTCATAGAAAAGAAGCCTCCAGGTATCTGATACCCCTTTGAGGTGAAAGGTGAAACAATGAAATCCATGAAACAAATTGGGCTACAGTTAGGACTGGCCTATAGATGATTGCATTTGCATAAGAAATAAGAACTGCACAAAATGTACTTAGGCCAAATAGTATTTGATACCTGTACTGATAAAGGGTTAGGACTTGGGGGAGGTTTATATTTCTCTGAGTAATTACAAAAAAAAAAGGAAGCTCATTAAATAGCAAAGTACACCACTGAGACTCATTGCATTTCCCCCGCGCCCTTCCTAGCCCATAGCGAAATCTTAACAATCTGAGTATCTGTAAAGACCTCAACAAAAAGTAAATGAAGGCCTTATTGTGAACTTAACCTAAAAGGGCAGTCTGTCTTTTTTACTTTGTTCCCCTCCTTGTGACTGAAAGCTGTGCAAACATCTACTGTCTGGTTCTTACATGATTGAAGCTGGTTTCTGCTGTGTGCAACTATGGAACACAGTGAGCTGATGAGCCTTCGTAACTGCATGCAGTGATCTTATAGAAAAGTAGGGCTGAGGATTAACCCATTCAAATTGGATTAACCATGGAAATGGCCTAATTCAGAGGTCCCCAAACTATGGCATGCATACCCCTGGGGTATACAAGACATCTCTGGGTGGTATGCGAGAAAAATTGTGTAATGACAGATTTCATTTTCATTATAAGAATAAATGACATTT